TGTTCTTGGCGTTGTCTCTGGAGATGGTGAATCGGCCCTTCACGGAGGCAGCGTAGTATGTGCTGCTGCCATCATACCTAATGTATGAGACCCACTCCAGCCCCTTCCCCGGAACCTGGCGGACCCAGTTCATGGCGTAGCTACTGAAGGTGAATCCAGAGGCTGCACAGGAGAGTCGCAGAGACCCCCCGGGCCGCACCACGTCTCCCCCAGACTCCACCAGCTGCACCTCACACTGGACACCTGTGAACACAGACACGTCAGGGTCAGGAAACTGTCTCACGTCCGTGTTCCTCACTCATTCCCACTCACATACTCAGTGTCCCTTGTTCCCCATCAGTCACCTTGTAAAACAGCGACGAGGAAAACCCAGCTGAGGCCAAACGCCATGGTGCGGTGTGTGTGTTCAGACCAGATCCCGGAATGGGGACACCTGGGAATCGCGGGCTGGGCTCCTGTCCCAGAGCTGCAGGCTTGGGGCTGGGCTGACTTTTATCGGCAGAGGGACCCTATTTGCATGTGTTCTGACTGTATAAGGAGCTCTGGGGTTGGTGACCCACAGAGAGGGCAGAGACCCAGAGCAGGTGTGGGTGTGCTTGGGCACGTGGTGGCAATAAGAACATTTGGTAAACTATGACTTTTATTGTGACATGTGTTACTTAAACACTTAGCACTATCACATTATTTCATTTTACTCATGCACGTAAGTCATGGGATGTGATGTCATTTACCTGCATCACAGGTGAACAAGGCCAAACAGTACCACAGAGAGCTTGGTGGTGTCGAGAGCTCACGTGTGTAAGAGTGAACTCATGTGTCTGGCCCTGTACACTCCCCACTGCACCCCACTGCTCGCCTGGGCCACCTCCAGGACAGAAGGGATGTGCCCAGTGAGGTGCAGGTCTCCATCCTGCATAAACCTCTGTGGGATTTGCTGCCCTCTAGTGCTAACGGAGAGCACGTGCAAGAACCAGGGTCACAGGTGTATTGCAGGCGTCTGTCCCATCTGAGAGTCACTCTCTGTGCCTCTAACTTTCTCTGTCCACTGATAACTGCACTTGGACGGTAGTCGTCTTGCTGTGGTAGAGCTCTGTCAGCCACAGCCACGCCAGGATGACGTGTACAGTTGGAATCACACGCACATACATGATGTGCATGTTACATCCTCAGCATCGTAATTGGAAATGTAGTGTGTGGTGTGACGCGGGCTCGCACGGGTCAGTGTGGACTCTTCTTCCGATAAGTGCATCCAACTTCATATGAGTCTGCGCACCTGCTGAGGGGTGCTGGAGTGTCCTCATTTCCTGGGTGCTACAAAGAAAGCCATTCTCAGCCTGTAGATGTAGAGACCTGAGAGAATGTTTTTCTTCTTACAACACACAGGCACAGTGACAAGCAAGATGCACTAAGTGTATATCAATAAATTCCTTTCAACTTATCAGCTATGTGACATCACAGATGCTGCACCCCGAGGGCTGGATACTCAGATGCCCCAGAAAAATATGGGATCATAATCTGCCTGCCCTTGTGATAGGTTTCCAGAGCGCACAGCCCCAGAAAGAACAAAAGTTCAACTAGAAACAGTTAATCATTCAAAAAGCCAGTGTCTTAAATGTCAGGGAGCACTTCCCCCGGTGAGGGCACAGATGGCCGTGTGTGAACCAGGAAGCGAGACCTCAAGATGCCGAGTCTGTGGTTGTCTTTATCATGGATTCTCTCCCCCAGGACTGTGTGAAGTAAATTCCAGTTGTGTCTCTCAGCCGCTTCATCTCTGTTACTTTTTTATAGCAGCTCACATGGACTATGAAATCGGTACAGAGATATGGGGGTGTTGCTGTAACAGATACATATAACTGGACGTTTCATTGGAACCGGGCTGGGCAAAGATGGGGGAACG